AGTAGAGTTACCAGAAATGAAATAAAAGCACTTTCTTATTCCCTTTCAGTTGTGGTCGAATCATGATAGAAATTGTGGGAAACAACTGTGAATGTTTTTGAACCAAGTTACATTTCTAAAAAAACCACTCTTTAGCACTAGTAACATTGTTCTTTAGGAAATGCATTTTTCATTTATATCAAGAATCTGCCTGGCCTACAATAAAAGGTGCACCGGCGAAAATGGGTGCTCCCTTGATCAGAACAACTTCCCCTTCTTTTAATGTGTTTCTTCCACTTGCACGATTGTTACTGTAGCAATTTGTAGTTGGTAACATGCTGTTCTTTTTTTTCCTTAGCTTGATTACCTGTTCCCCTCATCTCTGCCTTCCCTCTTCTTTTTCCTCGTCTTTTTTTACGGTTTTTCGTGGGCCTTTTTTTACATTTTTGTTTTTTTTAAGAAAAATCTTTTTTCTTTATTCGAAATTGCACTATCAGGAGCATTCAGTTTTTCCAAATAACCCATAAAAAATATGGCCCTGTCCGGTACCTCACTACTGGCATACAACATTTTAGCAATGTAATTTCTTTACTAAATAATTGCGTTTTTGCTTACAGAGTCGGTTCAGAAGAGGTGGGGGATATGGTGTGTTGCTAATTTCGTTTTAAAATTAGTGATAATAGAAATTTGACACGTAATAATTTAGGTCATTATTAATAATTGGCTTCGTATCGCGTTACTTTGATCTGCCAAATGTGATGGATCGAAATGATATGAAACAGTTTACAACAGTCAATGCATCACAACTTCTGACATCTGCAGCACATGCCGATCACGGTGAATTTGTGGAACTGATCTTCCAGATACTCTTTAAATTCTGTCAAAATCGTGACGGCGGCGTTCGATCTAAGGCGCTCGATGCCATTGGTGAGTCTTATTACACGCCGTTGTTTTATTACGATAACGATTTTTTCTCACCATCATTCTGACAGTAAATTTTATGTTGTACGTTCTGCGCACTAAACACATCACCATAATGCTCAGCATACTTACATTTTCTCCTTCAGATTTTCTTGCGCGTTACTTATAATATTGCCTAGGCCTATTTACATTAAGCGTAACTTGATTCTTTTGATCAGTTGCCATACATTTTGCTCCATATTCCTCAACTTGTTAAATTTTTTTCAGCCTTAACTCAAAATTCCGCATTCTTCCATATCACTTCACACTTCGTCCCTCAAATATCGTTTTCTTGTCTTCATTCGAATGCGTTA